AAACAGAAACCATCCATAAGTGAAGTGTATGTAACGGTATTAGGTTCAATATCTCTTTCAATCATCATTTCGACCACGCCTTCTGCTTCCCCAACCATCCCCTCCTTACAAAGTGTGTCTATTAAGACACTAAATGTGCGAACATTTGGATAGATATTTTTACTCACCATTTCATTCAACAACCTTGCAGCTTCTTTCCACTCGCCTAATTTGCAAACTCCATTCATCAAAGAGTTATAGGTAATGACATTTGGAGCAATACCCCTGCAAATCATTTCTGAGAAGAGGTTTAATGCATCATCAACTAGTGTATCCTTGCAAAGACTGTCGATGATTGTGCTATAGACAACTAGGTTAGGCTTGCAAGCTCCTTCCTCCATCTTCCTAAGCAACTGAATAGCAGCCCTATTGTTACCTTTCATGCAAAAGGCCTTTACTAGCGTGCCATAAGTAACAGCATCAGGCTGACAATTACCTCCCCTCATCATTTTGTTGAAAATTCCTGCCGCCTCCGCCACTCTATTCTTGATAAGAAAGCCGTTGATCAGAGTGGTGAAGGTAAAGACATCTGGTTCAAGACCAAGTTTGAAGAATTTTCCCAATACAGATAAACTAAACCCCATTTGGTTTAGATGACAATAAGAATTTATGAGAATGGTTAGGGTACAAACATCATGTCCAACTCTCGACACACCCATTTGGTTATACAATGAGATGACGGCCGAGTAATGTTTCAATTTTGCAACTTGACCCAAGATTTTATTGAAACGGACAACAGAAGGCAGAGGGCGCATTTGAAGCATTCTATCGAACACATTGAAGGCATCCTCAACATTTGTGATTTTGGGTAAGTCTCTTTTTGGCTGCTCTAGTTGGGTTCTCGTAGATTTGATCGGTTTCGAAGGTTGAGAGTGAAAGAAAGCAAAGTAATTGTTGACGAAAACGAGAAAAGTGGAGTTAGAGTGAAGACAATTCATACCTCTGCTGCTCCAGCAATAAGAAGAAGAAGAAGTAGCAGCAGTTGTAGTCCGTATCATCATCTTCAGCATCTCTGAGTAAAAGGGCGCTCAAACCTCCCTCCAACTGGTTTCCTCGAGAAAGCTCAAGTCCTTTTTCTAAACTTGGATAAAAAGTTCCGTACCTCATCGTTTTGTGTTGAGATTTATTTTAACAGTTATTGAATATAAATAGGAGAATCCCCTTCTTTCTTTTTTTTTCATTATTGAATATATCAGTTAGTTCTTTTCTAAATGTTCTTTTCTCTTTTGATAATTTCCGTATTTACAGTTTAATTTCAGTTTTCTAATTATTAATGTTACAGTTTAATTTCAGCTTTCAAAATTTAAAGTTTAATTTCAGTTTTGTCAGTGTTGTCAAGTGTTTGTAATGTAACAGGTTTTTATTATTGAAAAATACAAGTATAGTGGCGCGGCCATACTGTTTATTACAAAAAAAGGGACCCGCCTGGCACCCATTTAGACAAGATATAAAGCAAAAGACAGAGAATTGTGAAATATTCAAAATGCCAGAAAATACAAACATTAAGAATTGAAATGATTCAAAATGCAAACATTAAGAATTGAATTTATTAATTAAATGAGGAAAATATAGTAAATTCACACTTTTTCATATTAAAAAATTTAAAATTAAAAGAAAAATCAGATAATAGATCATATTTTTATGGAACATAACTACCCATTATCTTTTTTAATTCTAAAATAAATTTAAAATATAGAAGAAAAAAAAAGCATCTCGCAGGCGCGGAGAGGCTAGTATATTATTAGACAAAAGAAATAAACTTGAATTTAAGATATAATTCTTCTAATATTATGTATCATTGTTTTCTAGAACAAATATAATTTAATAAATGGGCTTTAATGCATGCATGCCAGGAGTGTTGAAGAAGTCTGCTGTAACTTTAGAAATTGGCTCCAGCATGGGCCTATACAAAATTGAAGACCAAATTTTTTACACCAAAAAGTCATGATTGAATTTTACATTTGAAGAAACTGATATTTCGGGTCTTTTAACAAGTGATTTTGTATTCCATGTTGAGAAACCGGACACCCTTCCCTTGCCGCCAATGAGGGAGGAAGGGGGTACCTGCAAGAAAAAACTCCAACGCTCAAGTCAGTGCTCGTTCATGAATATTGCAGTAGAATCAATTATACCACCCTTTGTTTTTTGCTGGGGGATTAATTGGCCTTTTATAGGTAATGAACCCTAGGACTGCAAATCCCATATCTCTTATTTTTCTCCATATTCTATGGTAGTGGATATCATGTTATTTGATTCCCTTAACTCCCTAAAATTTAGGCCTTTGTTACTTGGGTCTTAATTTTTGCTCCCACAATAAAACAAGTAACCATGAAAGCAACAATATATTACGAGCCTACTTTGAGAGTAATGCATCAGCTTCTGAAGCGATTCCTTTGAAATCAAATGAAATAAAGTCAAATACAGAGACAGCAAGAAGAAACGTGAAGACTGAAAAAGCAGTAAACTAATACTTCCATGATTCCATCTACCAGAGCAGAAGAATCGCTAGAAACTTATGAATTTAGATGACAAAAAGTTAACTGAGAATTTCTTTTAAGGTCCCCAAGTATGCCATCCAGAGCCTTAATACTAGAACCATACATGTTATTAAGCTTTCCCAGTCTTCTTCAAAGTTCTTCAGTAGCCTTCCAAAGCATGCCAAATAATTAGGTTGTATAGAGCACATCTGCCTTGGTAGATACAAAGGACTGCATATCCTCCTCCATATCTTTCAATTGCTGCTCCTGTTGTGTCACTGCATCTGCGACAGTCTTATGCAATATTTCAGGCTGTTGAGCTAATTCGAACTGGAATTTATGGACAATTATTCTTCCCAATTGCAATTTCAATGTTTGCCATGATAATCAGATGATCTGTTTCAACTTTCAAAGAGGACAGTTAACTTCACAATTCTGTTTTCTTCAATGGCAACAATGCGAGATCTACTTTACCTTTGGATAATAAATCAACTATCAATTCTGTAGTCCATGCATCTGCTGAGAAACCCTTCTCCACCATTTGTTGAATAAGTCCTGTCAACCTTACTGTCTCATTGTTATTGATAAACCCTCGAATAATTATGTTATACGTACAATCATCTGGAGGACAACCTTTCTCTTCCATTTCAGTAAGCAGCTTTTCTGCTTCACTTGTTCGGCCCCCAATACAGAGTCCATTAATCATTATGGTATATGTCCTCACATTTGGTCGGAGTCCTTTTGATGATAACCCACGAAAGAGAACCCTCGCAGATTCAATTTTCCCAGCTAGGCACAAACCTTCAATAAGAATATTGTAAATCACAATATCTGCATCCAACTTCTTGCCTTCCATCTCTTTAAACAGTTGGATTGCTGTAGAAAGTTGTCGGTTTTTACACAGGCCATCCAGTAGAATAGCATAAGTTTGAACAATTGGAAGTTGGCCACAAGCTTGCATCTCTGAGAACAACTGTTGTGCATCATCTAATTTCCCCACTTTGCAACAACCGTCGACTAGAGTGTTATAAGTAACGATATCTGGAACCAGTCCCTTACAAGTCATTTCCCGAAGTAGCATCATGGCCTCATCCATCATCTTATGCTTACAATATCCATTTATCAATGTGTTGTAACTAACAACATTAACCATCAAGCCCTTGCTAAGCATTAGTTTAAAAACTTTTCTAGCCTTGCTCATTTCTCCTCGCAAACAGAAACCATCCATAAGTGAAGTGTATGTAACAGTATTAGGTTCAATATCTCTTTCAATCATCATTT